GCAACAACCCAGAAGACAGAAATCTTCATACTCATTGCCCTGATGACGGAGGCAGTATGACCTCTGAAACGTTGGTAAACATCTACCATACTACACAGCGCAACAACCCAGAAGACAGACATCTAAGTTATGATTCTGAATATGAGAAGTTAATGCAAACTGTATTAGGATTCAAACAAGATACTAGATGACTGTTACTTGTACAATAGCAAGGACTGTCATGATTTAAACCAATGAGCATCAGTCAGTCATCTACATACATACAATTCACCCTCTCACAGTTTTAACAAATTTATATAATGTATCTATTTCTTGTGACAAATTGTTTTACATTGTAGTCCCATTTTAGTGACTTTCTGTGGGTGTGTTTTAGGAATGAAAGACCAAGTGAGATTTGAGGTTCTCATGGTGCCAAGTATAAAAATAGCCGTCTTCTGGGTTTTTGTGCTGTGTGGGCTGGTAGAAGTTTACTGATGTTTCAGGTTCTTGCTGCCTCCATTATCAGGGCTCATTGCCCTGGAGCTGAAAATCTCACATTACAACACCACAGTATTGGTGTCTCTCAGTGCAATAAAATGTCACTCACGTGTCATGATGTATGAATCCCAATAACACAAAAATATAAACTAAACATGAAATTCTTATTAGGTGGTATGATGCAGAAAGAGCCAAAGAATACAAATATATTCCTTATTAAGTGATACATACCATCAACAATCATTTGCTTAACAAAGAGACCACCTTTAGAATGCCCTACCCAGATGATGGGATTCTTGCCCACACCTATCTTCATCAAGTGATCCATCATCTCACGACTCCGCTCCACCATACAAGTCCTGTAACACGGAATGCAATGCATACGGATCAACACATTTAGATCCGATGCGACTACTCAGAGTTCAGCGTTAGTTCTTGCAATTTATGTCATAGCTGGTAGATCATTGGTTTAGTTTTTCAGTTTAATGACACTTTCTCACATGCACATGTTTTATAGTGGTGAATAACATGATCATTGTTAATGATTAATTATGATGGATGTACGTACATTTATTTATGCGTGGTTTATTTAACCCTTTAAAGCCAAAGCTTGATTAAATACTATTAAAGAATTCAGTCTGTACTGCAAAGAAAACACCTCACCGTTACGAAGATCCATCTGTTAATGCTGTTCGTGTAAATAATCACTGTTTACATTGTAAATCATATAAAATGCAGAATTACTGACTGTTAAAACAGCTGTACATTTACCAATTGGCTTAAAGGGCCAATGACATCAGTAGCCCAGACTACGTAGGGTCAAATGATAGGATGATTAATGAATTCAAATTGATATGGAAAACGTTGTCATAGCTTCATTTAAAATACTACCCCAGGGACTAAGGACAACCACAAATCTCAGTCTTCTTCTTTTTTCCAGTTTAACAATGGTTGTACATTTTCTGGTACCCTTTGCGGGTCCCCAACTTATTAGTTGGCTTGATCTATAGACATTTTGGTAGGACTCCTTGGACGAGGGATCGGCTCAGCGCAAGGCCTCTACCTGTACACAGGACAACGCGGACAATCATCCATGGCTTGAGTGGAATTCGAACCCACGGTCCCCGCGACCAAGCAGCACAAGACCCACGTCACAAATCTCAGTCTTTAAGCTAATACTTGGATTCAGGACATTCCAGGTACGAAGCAGAAGAACCATGACATTTGATTCAAAAGATGTGGAATGCTTAATCGTATAGCCATTGTCCCTATGTGCATATGTTTACTAAGGAGATAACTAGAGTTAAGGAACAATAAATCAACATAACAGATCATGACCCAGAATATAAAACAGCTGGAGAGCCTAGAAGAAAAGAAGCCAACATTCCAACCGCTTCAAAAGTCAAGACCCTGAATTCATAGTAATTTAAACAGCTTAGAGAGGAAAGAAGCATTGTAGAAAAAAAAACATGACTTAATACTGAAGGCAAATACAGAGTAGAAATAAACTGATGCACAAAATTGAAAAGAATTGAGTTTAAATAAATTTGACTCATGATTTAACTCAGCACAGCATCATGTCACATATTCATGTGACATGATGACCTCACTGACTGAAGACTAAAGACACATGTCTCTGTGCAAGTGGAAGTTTTGGAAAATATGATCAGAACATTGCATAATCAATCAGTTCATATTTAGAAGCGGTCAAGGCTGACCTATAAATTGAATATAAAGGTTGAAAAATCATCATAAATTTACAGGGTTCGCTACTATACCCAATTCACTCCAGGATGAACAGAACTAAAGAAAAATCTATTTTTAACCACTTCTGTTGGTTTTTATTTGAAGGAAAACTTCAAATATTTTTTGAAACATACAATGTATGTCAGTTATGAGCTACAAGCAGTTAGATTCAATTCAGAGAGGGCAGGAACTATTTACTACATTGATCTTGAAAAGGCAAAACCAAGTTGCCCCTGGTGCATAACTAAGCAGATGGAGTTGAGGTCTGTCTCGATAATCAGGTTAAACATTAATAAAATACGAAGAGACTGGGCCTTTGCTTACGTTTGTTATAGAAGTAGATTGTGTCATATATTATGAAGGAATGCTGTCCAAGCGGTAGTAATTGTCAGCAGTCACTTGATGCTAGTCGGTCACAACACAGTCTCTGCCAGTTATGACGGACGTAAAACACGAATCTCACTAAACCCTCCAAAGCAAGTAGTTTAATTAACACCTACTTTAACATTCAATAAATCTGTATTTTGTCCACAGAGTGTATTCCATGATTATCAGAACAAATGCAATTGTTTCCCTACCAACTTAACACTGCAAATGAAGAGCAACTGCGCTATTGCGCTCGTTAAGTCTGGTAATAACATAATACATGTCATGGGGACCTCGCGATTGCGCCCCCTCCCGCCCCTGTCTTTCAGACGTCTGGAAATAGGGGCAAAATGATTCACGACCACTTTATACAGTTTCGACTACTCTGGCGTGAATGCAAAGGCGATATCGAACCACGTATCGCCTTCGGTTGTTGCCCTCTGCTTGAAACTACGTTGGTGCATATATTGCATAATAATACTCTTCAATGATCGACTGATTCAGTTCCTGTATGGAACTAACGAAAAAGAAACCTAAGGCTTTTTTGTTGGAAACCGGTTCCCGAAGGTCGAATCGAGAAGTAACCAGCAAGTGGGAGAAGTTATGCTGGTAGATTAGCTATCGAAGTACGGGTCAACTTCGGTAATGTAAAACGGGTTTTCACGTCCAGAGATTATAGAACATTCAACTTTTTCCAAACACATTCGGAGCTCGGGGTTAGTTCATAAATGAGGGCAACTTACTGAAACGTCAAGGATATATAAAAAACGCTACTGGTCTAGAAGTCAGGTGCGAAGGAATGGAATAATACGAAATCCCCCTAACAACTGCAGCACAATTTTATGGTATTTCAACAATAAAAATAATAACAACAATGACAGTATACCATTGTTATGTTATATAGTAAAAGATTTAATCCTCCATTTTGTGGACTGGATCAAAATATTAAATTTAAAACTTTTGGTGCAGACATTGGGAACCACATAATATAAATATTTCAAGCAGTTTCAAGGATGAATAATGCAGATGGACAGCAACGAAAATAGTCATTACCTTCCCATGAACATTCAATTCAATTCAATTCAAATGCCATTGTTTTTAACATGAAACTGTTGCAATGGCGACTTCACTTGGCTTGGAACTAGGATTATTGTGACTAATATTCCATGTAAGTGTCACACTAAAGGTGAAAATTTAATTCATTATATAATTACCTACCAACATTCATGCAGGATCGGTTCTGAATCCCACTTCAAGTACTGCATAGTAAAAGTCACAGATGTTCAGCAGATCTACAGAATAAAGCGCCTTACAGTTCTTTTGCAAGCAATTCATGCACAAGGAAAGAAAGAAATAAAGAAACACTGCCTGACCTGTTACGTTTGGTCATCCAAAGCGGTCTCCACAAGTAAGGATCTGTTGTGTAGCTGAGGGTAATGATCCGCACCCCGGGACAGTCCTGTGGCAACCAGTCACGTGGCCAACATGTGGAGTATGGCTCCCTCTCGTTATTTACCTGTAACAAATGGTCCACCAGCATCTTCATAGTTCTATATCTGGCATAGATGCATTCGCCATGGAGTTCGTATATTTAATTTGGTACACGAGAAAATCAGTGAAAGAACTGTATCCCATGTTAGTAGTTTAATCCAAAGTTTATGGCTTTGGAATAACAGAAATTAGAGTATGGGTTACCACAAAAGGTTTGTTAATTGTGATATTCTGGGATGTAATCCCATGCAGACTTGTAGGTGGTTACCGGCGTTTCGGAAGAACCTGCTGCCACCAACATGAAGTCAGCAGGGTTTTCAAAAAAAAGTGACTCATCGCCCTGATGATGGAGGCAGCAAGGACCTCTGAAACGTCGGTAAACTTCTACCAGACTACACGGCGTAACAACCCAGAGGACAGCCATCTTCATACTGACAACCGTGAGAACCTCAAATCCTACAGACGAAAGCCTTCTTACCCTGTCTCCCGACAGATCCACGCGTCGCTCATTCCCTTCCGCAAAGCTTCCGTTCTGGGATGACCGAGACCGGCAGGTCTTCCCGTCGTGCGAGTTTTTCCGGGGGACGGGAACAGTCCTCACCTTCCTCACGTCCCAGTTCCCCTGTTTCCACGTTTTGTCCAGGGACCCGTGAAGTCCGTGGATGAAGATGACGTCTGCGCGGATTTGCTCGGGGCTGGGGTCGTACAGCACTTCACAATTCACACACCTCTCAGGCTCCGAAGTGTCCACTTTATCTGCTCTTTGCGTATTCTCAGATTGTTCAACTAGCTGGCGTGGTCTGAATTTTATTACCTTGAATGTCCGGAGGATGGGATCCAATTTCGAAGATGGTAAGAATACAGACCCTGAATAAGAGAAATACCACTGGAATCATCAAACCGACATACACCATTCACGTCGAAGTGAAGTGGTTAGCACTCTTACTTCGTATTTAGGAGGTGCCATGTTCGATTCTCTTGGCCCGGAGACTGGCTTTCTTTACAGGTGTCTTCTAGAAATGGCTGTGTGCTGTAATGCCTTAAGGGAGTCATGACCACTTCTCTCTACGTGGTTCCCAATAGTCACCACAATTAGCATATTCTACAGTACCAGACCCATGTAGGTGATAATCTGACATTAAATGAGCTAAGCAGAAAAAAACGGAATACAAGACAATGCAATTTCATTAAGTCGAATAAGAAATGCTTTTGAAAAAAGTCCAGTTGTGTCGCCAGTGCAAAACTTTATTATATTTAGTGTTCTGTCTGACGACAGGTCCATATGAACAGGATCCTTCCATCCTTTTCTCGGACTGGGACCTGTTCATATACGTTCTTGGCAGATGATCCAGAAGTGGTTTGCCATTGCCTTCTTCTGTGTGTGTGAATGGAGTAATTGTTGGGATGCCACGGAGAAACCGGGGAAGCCCCCGGAGGAAAACTCCGTGTTGTCTAGACCACGGCCTTGCCCAACACAAGTTATAAATTCGGGCACCGCCGGGAATCGAACCCGAGACCCCAGGATTACAAGGCCAGCGTTCTAACCGCTAGACCACCGTGGCACAGGTCGCGTGGTATGCATAGGATTGGTTAGAAATACAAAGTTTTCGTCGGAACGTGTAAAACGTAATATTTATGTGTAAACGGGAGTATAATAAAAACATAGAATGTTGTTTGGATTCATCTTTCTCAAGATAGTGTCCATTAGCGGGCTCTTGAGAACGCGGCATTGAACTTTCGAGTCCCACAAAAGGCTTCGAACCTTCGGACCACATCCACAAGGTTACTCGGCAAAAACACAGACGAAGACAGTCTGAGAAATGTTAGTAAGTTTGCAATACAATGTAGATTAATGTGATTAAATACATATACTTACATACTATTCGTTCAAGATTTAAATATTAGAAAGATACATCCAACAAACGATTCAAATTAGTAGTAAAAAAAAAGGACTATATCTTTTGTCTCGCTCCTCACAATAAATTTTTAACCAAACTGACTGATTTTTCCTGCCAACAGTGACACCAAAATAACGATCTTGGAAACTTAAGAGATGGCAGAGACACTATCGTCACGAAATGAAGATGAAGTTGTCAACGTAAATAAATTCAAATAGGTTTATCTCCATAAAGCTTCCATGAAGTGCCAATTTTCAGAAGGTGTGGAAGTTTAATCTTAGGAAGTCTTTAACTTGGATAAAGTTCCCCCTGAAAGTCATACAGAGTGCATGACGGGAGTGGATGGTGAACTCCGTGTTCTTGCCTGGGGAAATTATACCACACACCCACTGACTGGGTCCCTGTCAGAAGAAAAACCACTTCTCCTGCCACTACATAACCGGATTGCCTACATTAACAGGAGCTGACCTGAGATCGAGGACAGGGAGATTACGGCGAGCACTGCAGGTCCTAGCTGCTGGCGTACTCCGTTCACGACGGTCCTCTGGTTACGCAGCCATGCGTAATACATGGCAAGACACACGGGCAGCAACAACCGCAGCACCACTGCCACGTAGCTGGTCACATATCGGAGCTTTCTGCAACGAGAAAACCCGACGACATCTTGTTTGCGCACTGAAAGCCTTCAATCAAGAATAATATTCGTGTCTTCTGTATACGCTTACGCCACAGATGCAAGATGGAGTGGTGATGATCATCTCCCAAAATTTTGCTAACATTTTCTTCTACTAGTTTACGCAGACCGCTGAGTTTTGAAACTCGGTCGAGTCACCTCTCACATACCTCACAGGGGCATGTGGATGTTTCTTGATAATCGGCGTAAAGGTACAATTTGGCTGCACGCGACAGAGACAAGCGACCGAGGCAGGCGACAGAGTTACGAGACCGAGACTGGTCGCTTCCTGTCTGCTCTCTGTACAATCGTATGAAGTACAATTACGAGGGCGAGACAAAGACAGGCGTCAGAGACAAAGCACAGGAGACCGCTCTCGGACCAGTAGTGTCTCGCGACGGGCTCAGGCAGCACGTGTGTTGTTGAGTAAAATAATGGCAGAAATTAAATTTACTGGTGACCAAGATGAGCAATTGGTAGAATTAGTAGCAGAAAACCGACCACTGACCACCGACAGAAAGATCCTTCTTCACGTCTGGTTTTGAATATTGAACTCATAGGTTTTCTTTGTTTCTTTCGCAACAAATAACACAGCAACACATCATCTTCTTCGATTAACCTTTTTAGAAGCATTTTTGTACTCATTTTTCACAGAATATGTGAACGCATGTCTCAACAAAACAAAGAAAACAAACACTTTGCCGCATGTCTCGGTCGTCACATCAAAAGTGTGTTGCTACAAGCTGCGATGTGTCCGTCTCCCGTCTCTGTCGCTTGTCTCTGTCGCGTGCAGCCAAATTGTACCTTAAGAGAGATGTAATGTGGATAATTTATCAGGCGATGTCAAATGACAATCATATTCAGTTTTACATTCCGGCACTTCAAATTACAATCAGTAATTTTATTTATGAGATGAGAGAACTGACTTCAAATTCCAAGTTGTTTCGCACAGTGGCTTGCTAGGATAACGGTTAAGACACACCCAGTGAACATCATGCACTAGAAATAGGCCTAGATATGGCACTGCATATAAAGTATTTCTCATTGTATAAATATTAAATAAAGACTAGCCTATGTCAAAAAGAGTTCCGAATAACGTTTTTAAATTGTAATGAAAAATTGACATTGGAACCACGGTTTCGGAGAATCTGACGTAAATACGTCTATACGGAAAGGAAGTTTATATATTAGCTTTAATTACAACAATATTAACAACAATGCCGAATAAACAGATGACGTTTCCTAGGTAACATAACAATGCAAGGAAGCTGACCATTGTTGTCGATCCATATTAACATAATTGACATGGATCTTACACGTTTTCCTTTCACGTTTTCCTTTCACTTGTTTGCCGAATAACCTCTCCGTATAGACGTATTTACGTCAAAAATGGATTTTATGTAGTGTGTGAAAGCTTTGTATAATGACCCACATTTTGGAAAACTGATTAAGTAAGTTTTGAACGCCATATCAACAACAAAAATGTTTATTTTCTAAAAATATAAAATTAATAGAAATTTCGGCAGAACCAAGTATCTTCAAAATCAGGCGAGTACTTTCTCAGATAAAAGATGCAAACAGCCACATGACCCCTGAACCCAATTATGAGTTTATTTTGCGACATTTGCGTGGAGAGACAGACAAAAATCACGAACTGTCAGGATAACCGGTCTCCAGGCAGAGATTTGAAGTCGTGACCTACCGAATATGGAGTTCTAACCCCTCGACCGCGATATTAGTTCTTAGTAAAAATATAAATAAAATTAGACCAAATATTTCAAAATAATGACAGATATATTATCTATTGGAAAACATTCTAAATATTTATATTTTGGCCAGTGACGTTTCACAGCCATGAAAGCAGGTGCGTCAGCCGGAGACACGATTTCAAAACAAGCGTGTATGTGAAAGTATTTATCATGCAAACTGAATTAAACCGAGTGGTATCTTGCGTATGGAAACGTGTGGCCCTGTTCACGATCATTGAATATAATGACCCCTCATTAAATGTCATTTAAACTGACATATAAAGTCACTTTCACAACCACCTCTTTTTTATAAAAGATTCATTCCAGACGTAAAAAAAAAATAACCTCATGCTTGGACAACGCTGCATCAGGTGTTGTTATTTCCGTATCAGTTTCAAGCACCAAGACACGTCTTCGATATCAGGCAAACGATGTACCAACGGACGGGCCAGTTCATCTTCCGCGACTTATTCGTGCGCTCTATTAAGGCTTCACCACACATCCTGTTCATTGTCAGTGGCCAAGGACAGGTCTAGTGCCGTCTTTCTACAAACATCAGCCTTTTACGTTTCTCGGCCAACATCAGACAACCGACGTTTAGATCCAAGATTTCCTAAGAAATGAGTACCAGCGTTCTTTTCAAATAGTTAAAGGCGGCCACTCAACTATTTCCAGACTGGCCTTGGACGCGCGTTCACTCGGGACTATAGATTTCCCTTCCAGAGTTATCTTAGCAAAATCTCTTTATGAGATAGTATAGTTGCGTCATATTGTGATATTAATTAAAATAATTATTATATTTGTTTACCGTCAAATCACAATAAAATAGTAACATAAGATAATTAAAATGATTAAAATATCATCTTATGTTCCATATCGAGCATTCGATTTACATCGGAACATTCACAACATGTTTCGGTTTATCAAACCGTCATCAGGTGTAAATTATAAACTTTTAAACTCAAATTACAATTATTTATAGTTTTTACAATTTTATAATTTTATCATCTTTCTCAGTATATTTTATGAAAGTTGTGTCTAGATATTATTAATATAACATTATTGTTGAGGTGGTGTTATTGATGTTTATACCAGTCTGTGAAGTA